CTCTCAAGAGTTTCCAGCTTCGCGGCTTTCAGGGCTGCGAAGTCTGCTCAGTGGCCAGAGCAGGAGAGCACAGGACAGGCAGGAGCTCATGGAGCGGCTTTGAAGATGAGCTCAGCCTCATGGTCTCTCGTGAAAAAGTGGCAGTGACATAAGACCCACAGTGATTGCCTTTCAGCCCCCGCTTGGAGCAGCCCTCCTTTCATTTCAGCCCTAGCCTCTGAGATCAAATAGCTTCTGCAGCATCCCGAGCTATCCAGCCTTTCCAATTCATCAGAATATCTGCAGCTGCTAAAACTGAATTATTTAACAGAGTAGGCTGCTGAGCTAACAGCCCGCACTCAAACATCAACAGCCTCTCTTTGCCTTTGCAATGCCAATTAGAATTTCAGGGTCACATTCTGGACGCGGTGCTTGTGCTCCTGAGCTGGTGTAAAACCAGTTCTGGTTTGGATTGCACGCCTGGCTTGGTGAGGTGACCCTGTGAAAGCCAGAGCCATTTGCAGGCTTGCTCTGCTCCACTCGTTCCTGGGAAGCAAACTGGCTTCCAGCTGAGCTCGGGGTGGCCGGGCTCCACGCTGTCGAAGGGGGAGCTCAGCACCAGCCCCGGATCCGTCCCTGCCACTCTCTGCACCGGGTGCTGGGTGCGACGGGTTAATGGGACACCCCCTGGGAGAGCCTTGGTGGCTTTCCTGAAGCAGAACTAGATTTATTGCTGTGGCATGATGTGCCTTCTCCCTGTAGTAATCACAGGGAAGTCAGTCAAAAACACTCATGAAACAAGCAGTAGCGCAGCATGAGCAATATCTCATCACCTGCTTCTAAGTTAACCAGAGCTGGGAAAGTGCCCCCGATCTAAAATGGATTTAATTAGTGGCATTAAAATAAATAAACACAAGCCAAGTTCATTTTTTATTCAGTTTTAATGATGCAGTGCCTTTAAGTGATCCTTGGGTCTGGGTACTCATCCCGCTTCGACATAGCTTTGAAAAGACAAACCTGCCGAGGTCATTTGGCTTTTCGGTGTCCTGCCCTGCAGTTTCTTCATCTTCTTGTACCAGCAGCATCAGGTTTCCAAACACTCAAAACCTAGTTGGGAATCCTATTTAACTACTTCTTCCACAATCTGCTGGGGGTAAAAGAATCAACCCTTCACACCCAAGTGATGTGCCTCAGGTAGCAGGGATTCTGTGGAACTTTTCAGCGAAATTGCAGAAAAGATTAAATAACAAGATGGGAACCAAAACTAACTGAGATGGAAGGATGTGGCAGTCGGTCTTGTCTTAATTCGCTGTGCCTCATCAAAAAGAAAACCCCCAGTGTAAAGGCTGTGCCTGCCAGGGACAGAGAGTTGTGACTGTGGCATAAAAAGCACGATATCTCATGTGATTTTTCTCCGTGAAGGCAGGGTTGCAGAATTGAAATGTACAGGATCCTTTTTAAGCAAATCTACTGCGGCAGCCGGTTGTTGCGTGAGCTGCTGCGGGGTTCCTCGCCGAGGCTGACTTGTTGGTTGTTTTTTCAGACCTCCCCGGTTCTGAGAGACTTCTTGGAAAGGATGCTGACACGGGACCCGCTGGAAAGAGCAACGGCCCAAGAACTTCTGGATCATCCCTTTTTGCTCCAGACGGGACTTCCAGAGTGCCTGGTCCCCCTTATCCAACAATACCGGAAGCGTACCTCTACCTGTTGACTTTACCTAAGGGGCAATGCTAGGAAAAAGTAGTATTTATTAAAAAAAATCCACTGACATATCAAGAAGCCAGGCAGTCCCGTCCTGTGAATGGTGCTCGGAACTTGTCAGCGATCATTGGAGAAGATGATTGTGAATATTGTCCTTGCATTCTCAGCCTTTTGTGGCTTCTCTTTTGCTGAAGACAATCAACACATACTGGATCCAAATGAGACCAAGTATGTCTCAAGAGTAAAGCAGGCGGCTCGTGGATCGCTCCTTCCGAAGAACGGCTTTTTGAAATCGGAGTCTGAAGTTGCGCATCTGAACGTCTGCGAGTTCCTGCCAACCTTGGCTGCTGACTACTGAACCGGAACTCTAATTCCCAGTCAGAAATGTGATCGTCGTTTCCTTAGTTGTACACTGGAGCCTTGCGCCGACTCGAACGTACCTTGTGGGGCACACACCCCTTTAAATTCTCAAACAATGCACAAAGACTTTATAATTTTTTTTCCTCCGAGAATTTTTCACAGAAGATTTTAATTTCCTTCGGCTGAGCGTGGACCTAGAAAACTGTACATATTTTCCTGGGGGGCAGATGTGATCTGTATATATTTGTCTCTGAGCGACTCTCTTGCATCGACATGCTTCTCTTTTGCTGAGGGAGATGTGCGGTTTAGTGGTCGATCTTGAACCCATTTCATGAAATTCACTTTTTGGAGCGGGGAGCCCTTGGGTACGGGCCTCAGAAGAGACTCTGGGAAGACGGATGTCCTTGCCACCGGGAGCTTCTGGTTGAAAATTCGCAGCGTGCGACACCTCCAACGCTGGCGGTAACGGAGAATCTGCCGAAACCTGTTCTGTGCTCGGGTTCCAGGCACCTTTCCTTCCGAGTCCCTTCTCTCAAGAGAGGCTGAGAAATGCCACCCCGAGACAGTTGTCGGGTGACACCTCAGCAATGCTGGAGGAGGCTGAAAGAGTTTCCCGTGTGGCTCAGGAGAGATTTTTGTGCTCGTGCCAGGCGGGTTGTCGAGCCTCCGTCTCGCCCGACTTGGTGCTGCAGGACGCGGGGAGAAGAGGAACTTTTGCCGTACGTCTTGTTATTGGTCTGCCCTTCCCCGACCACCCCTTTGCTGATACATTCAGAAGGTTATTGGTTGTCTAAAGAGCTCTTTCGGGTGTTTTGAAATAGATTTAGATATTTTGTATGATACACTTTTGACCAGTGAGATAGTTGAGGTCATTGGACTCTAGATTGGGATGTGACGTTGTACAGTGATGGTGTGTATTGTTGTGAGGTCTCAAGAATATAATCTTAATGTGTGGAATCGGGATCCTATTTTGAAACTCCAGATACAAATTTATTGAAATTTAAGTTATTCGTGGGACAGTCCTGCTGTCTCAGAAATTAACCTCATAATTACATTTTCTTCAGAAGATGTTAACGATCTCTATCCTCTGCTATTTGCTCTAGTTAAAGATCCTGCTTCAAAATTGAAGCCACAGTTGATTACTTGAAGTAATTTGGGATGGAATTCACCTGCACTGATGCCAGCCGTCAGGCGGTGGGCGACTGGTCTGTGGAGCGTACGGGTTGGGTTGGTGGGTCGAGGCGAGAGGAACCCCTCTGGAGACTAAACAGTCTCCATGATCTCAGATACCTGCCAAAGGACGAAATCGTTGCCTCTCCATCTGGCTCTGCTTGTGGCCAGGAGAGAGGTCGTAGGTGGCTTGCCTAGACTGGATGTCTAAGTTTGGGGCTGATGAATTCGGATGAAATGAATTAATTTAGCTCCTCCTTGGCTGCACTGGAAAATTTTTTGATGTAACGTGTTTCGGAATTCCAGATATACGGCTTTTTTTTTTTTTAATGCAAAAGAGCAGGCCTTTGAAAAGATTTATAATTTGAAACAAATGATCCTGCTCGTCTGTAATTGTGAATCCTTTGCACTCGTGTTTTAAATTAAAGTAGATCTTGATTTATTCATAAGCCCGTTGTACTGCCGAGATGCTTTAAAACACGTCTATAGCTCAGAGATGTATGGGAAGCGTGAACCCTGAAGTCTTGTCTGGCTTCCCTGTGCTATGGCTGCGTGGCTTTTAAACCAAGAGGAGACTATAGCCGAAGCCTGGATCCTGAAACAAACACTTCTTGGAGACAGGGATGACAGGTTTAATGGTTTACACCATTTAATGCTTCAGCTCAAGTGTGACTAAACACAGTGAGGGAAGTCTCTCGAAAGATTGCATTCGAGTACCTTATATATCATTACCATATCGGTGAAAAAATACCCCCAAAAGTATCCACCTTCCTGTCCGCTATAGACCTGAATATTTGATTCTCGTGTTTCTCTTCTCGCCATCCGTGTGCGGCGTCTCACCAATTAATCGCCCCATTGCTTAGCTGAGTGTGGAATCAAATCTAAATCCGGAGGTAAACCTAGAGCAGTTAAAAGAGTGAAGCTCTTGTCCCCGGGGCCAACAGCTCCTTCCCCCAGAGCCAGGCAGGACGGCTACGAGCCCAGCAGGTTTGCAATTTGCATCGCAGCAGCACCGCGGAGCCAGGCTTCTCATGTGCTGAGCGATCCCAACTACGTGACACTGTGCAGCCGCTCCTCTGACGAGCTCGCAGCCTACTCCGTGGGTAATTATGCTTTCAGATGTTGGTTTCTCCGACTGTCTTTCCGTGGATGCTTTCAGCGAGGTTACACTCGTGTCTCGGGGTTTTCTGTGGTTTCGTGTCATGTTTCACTCGAATCGTTCCCTTTTATTCCTCGTTCCTGTCAGCCTCGCTGGTACCGAGGTGCTTCCGCGCTGCCGCAGCCCCGGCAATCAGCTCGCAGGAGGCCTTTGAAGCTGGCAGGTTGAATTTATCTGAACAATTTGCTGGATCAAACAGGGAGCCTGTGACTGCTGTCATCTCCCAATTGCGCGTGTCTGTGCCTGTATGAGACCTGCCCTCCTCAGACAGGGCTCCGTGCCATCCAGCAACCGCTCGGTTGTTTCAGAATGGGACAAACCCTTCTCTAGAGGCTCCTGTTTTGTAACCAGCCATGGCAGGACACAAGATCAAATGAAGCTCCCGGCTTCTAAGACGGTTCCGTCTGGTGAGAGGAATCCTGCGCTTCCCTCTGTGGCCTGGGGAGAGGATTTTGCTCTATAAAATGGGGGTAATAGTAAGTAGAAAACCTTGACCATGTGTGGGGCAGGGAGAGCGTCTCTGAAATGCAGCAGCAGCCGTGCAGCAATTCCTTCTGTCGCAGCAGTGGTCACGTCGGCACCACAGCTTTCTCACGGAGGTAGAAGACGATTTTGGATAATTCAGACCAAACTGAGCCTGAACTGTAGCACTCGTCTGGGGGCAGTTTATAGGAGTATCTAGGGCAGCTTGCAGAACGCAGAGCGGCCACGAAATGCTTGAAGGCAAAGTTTCTGGTAATGGCAGGAAAGGGAGAGAACTGCCTGCACACCCTGTCCCTTCTTCAGTCACAAAATGGGGCACTGGGGATGCGCAGACTGGAAGGGAACGAGTTACTGGTGCTTACAAAGAGGCGCGGATGGGCAGGCGTTTGTTTGGAGCTGCGAAGAGACATCAAAGGCTTCTCCTAAGCGTCCGGCTGCCAGGGCAGTGATGACAGAAACAACACGAAAGCAGCCCCGGCTCCGTGCCTTTGCGGCTCTTTGCTTCTCCGTGTTTGGGTGACAGCATCACAGTCGTAAGGATCCGCATCTCTTCACCACAGCAAATCCATCTGCTTTAGCAGTGACCTTCGGGCTTTTAGGCGCAACTTTAAAGTGCTCCGAGAACGTGAAGGGCGCGATGACAACAGAGGTGCTGAGCGCCAGCCGGCCTGCCAGGAGAGGCTGGGGCACTACTCGCCCTGACTCTCCCACTACTCCCAGCTTCCACTAGTGAAGAGGCAGCAAGGGGGAGCTTTCCTCCGGGTTGGGCTTCTCATCTGAAGTGTGGGCTGTGTTAGTCTTTTAGGGTGTTTGTGGTTTTTTTTTTTTCAATATTTTTTCTTTCCTTGAATGTCAGGGTTGAATAAGTATTTTGGGCCAGAGGGTTTAGGGGTAGAGATTTAGAATATGCCACCTAAAAGAGGACAATGGGGGCAGACTCCAAGATTGTGCCTAAATCTGCTGCTGTTCAGTATCTCACCGGGCACTGGTGTTGTCTCAAGGACCATTGAATTTGTGTTCTGTGCAACAGCCTCCTTACAGAGACCGCTCTGATCCAACTGCCACGGCACCCTGTGCTCAGCAAGCGTCCTTGCGGTAAGAAAATACACAGAGAACTGTTCCAGGATGGCTGAATTGTGTGGGGAGAAACCCTGCAGGGCAATGGGGAGGTGCATTTCTCCTCCGGAGGACATAAGTAGCCAAACGCTGGCGTGGCTCTTGTGTGGCTGGAGGGACGGTCAGAATTCATCACGTGTTGTGTGAAACCTGTTCAGTAATGGTCGGTTTGGAGCCTTTAGTTGCTTTTGCCCATCTCTCACCTTCCAGAGTGAACCAGCGGAGGCTGGTTCGCTGCAGCAGGGAAGGATGTTGATGCAGAGTGTGGGCTGTGCTTCATCCAAGACGTGTCTTTGCTTTAGTTAGTGATTCTTCTCGAACAGGGCATTTACAGGACTTGTATTTTTTTTTTAGCACCGAGATGTAATCTGTGTCAAACACTCGTCCTGTTTTTCACGAAATTCTCTTATCAATCACCTGATAAATCTGTGCCAGTGCTTCATCGACCAGCAGGGCTGCACGACAGGAGCTGTGGCGTGGTGCGAGGGTGCAAGTCATCACGGCGTGTTTGCTTCCTCAGGTTTCCAACAGCAGAAACTATTAATGACACGCATCCAAATTGCTGAAGTTAAGTTTCTCTTACATTTGTGTCATAGTGGAGCTGAGCTATGATTGTTTTCTGAGAAGTCCACGCCTTTAAAAAAGCCTCACGAAGAGCATTTTAGTCTGGCCCTGTTTCAGCCCTTGGTTCTGTCGTTCACAGGCTGGCTGAGCGCAGCTGC